ATATAGGATTTGTTTCTTTATACATCGGAATTGTATAGACTTAAGCGGATACCTTAGTTCGGCAAAAAGTAATGTTTACTATAGAAAACTGTAAGAATTTTTATCGTTAGACTCTTGTAAGCCGGGTTCATTACTAAAATATGATCCTTAGATCATAAATAAAGTCACATGACATTTTTCTTAAATAATAAATCTTGATTCGAGAGGGGTGATCGCACCTCTTAAGAGTTCGATTGACGAAGAGTACAGTTTAAAAGTAGAAATAACTTTCTGTGTTTCTATGTTTAGGATGTTTTTAATATCGAGGAAGTAAAATAAAATGTTTTTAAAGCTATTTTATTTTAGAAATTATATATATCTACTTTTGTTCTGCTGTGAATTTTGAGAGAAAGATTTCGAAGTGCGGTTGAAGTAGTTTATGCTAAAAGATTTTTTTATATATAGAAGAAATAGTTGCATTGTTGAGCAATAAGAAGTTAAATAAAAAGGTAATAAAAAAGTCATTTAACTTAAGAAATATATTCTAAAATCTTATAATAAACTTATAGATTATTTTAACTCGAAAATTTCTCACTTACAAGTTAGAACTTTATACAATTTTAAATAAAACATTTTATACAAAAAAATGTGAATAATTAATCAATATAATATATTGATTACATATATTTAATTTATCTTATAAAAATCTTTATACATATTTCTAAACAAAGGATAAAGGAAAGGAAATTTGACAATGATAAAGTGGACACGCGTCAAGAGATACGTATGCTCTCTACAAAAGTTGCATGACAAGTTGAAAGAAAGGAAAAAGTAACAGTTAGAAGCGCGCAATTTGAAGTCGTAAACTTTTACAACCTGTAATGGGGTAGACGGCAGAGTGTTGCAAGCAATTAATGTCTCGACATGTAATGGCCATGATTAGTATCAAACTAGCCCGGGGTATCGATGATGTAGTATTGAGCGGCTATGTAAACAAAAGATTTTCTCGGAATTCCTCCCTTATTTTTTTTTTCTTTCTTTCTAACTAATTCGAGTTTTTCGTGAAGCTTTTTTATGAAGTAAATTTCTTAGAAAAAATATAAATTTTACATCTGTTCTAACTTAATATATCGTGACAAATGGTGAGCTTTATATGATACGTCCTTGTTGTAATACACGATAAGATTACCTTGAAGGATAATATCAGATAAAAGTACAATTCGATTGTATTCGTAATTTTTGATTTAACGCTTATAAAACTTGTAATATATAATTTATTAGTTTGATTTGATGCACATAANGCTATTTTGATAAAAATGAGACAAAAATTAAAATTTTAAATCATAAAATATTCTTCATACTATTTAGACGAGTCAAAACTTGAATATAAACTTTAAAAAAAATAATGCCTTCTTTTCCAAGTATTATAATCATAAAGAAATGTCTGAATAAGATTAATTGTAACTTAAGTCTGCTTATTATAGGTTCCTATAAAAAAAAGTACTTAAACAATCATTTAGAAACTCTGTAGACAACAATTTAAATGATAATCAATATTTTTAACAATTAAATTAATAGTTCTATCATTAACGAGCTTCTAAAGAGCATGTCATATATAAACCACACGATTTGATAAAGATTAAGATTTTGCAACTTAATAGAGTTCTAAATATCCATTTAAGATATAAGAAAGATTTTCGTATCTACAAATGTAACAAAGAAAAAATACTATTCACTGTAAATCTCGATTACAGTTAAGGCAAAAAATATTTAGACAGAGGAAAACTCGGACTCGTTAGCTACACTAAATTCTGTTCACATGATCCAAATGGCCAACGTTTAATTTTATAGAATGGATCTCAAACACTTTTATAGATTAGAGTTTAGCAATTTTTTATCTTTAGATTTTCTAAATTGCTAAGAATTTTTCGTAAAAAATTTCGAATGTTGTTTTGTAGAATTTGTCAAGATAAATCTTAGCGAACAACACGTGCAATTCCCTATAGACTAAATATCAGAAGTAAGCTTTCTAAATAAAGGAATAAGTGACGACCAGTGGACACTTTAACGCTTTTTTACCAAATAATATCTCCTGAGAGGATGTAGGTTCAAGAAGGTTACCGTTTTCTCCCTCCCTACATCAAATATTTAACCAAATAGAAGGTAGTTGTAAAGAAGGGCAGATTTTCGATCGTTTTTCACTGAAGACGTTTACAAGGGGGAAAGGAAAAAATGAAAATAGGGACAGTAAGGGAGAGACCAAATCGAATCACATGATCCTAAATTGACCGAAAACCGCCTATAAATATTTAAAATGACTTTAAGGAGGGGAAGACAGAATATCAAAAATCTCCCAGAGCTATTCCATTAGTTGAAGAAGTGAAAGCAATTAGCTTAGCCGTAGCTATAATTAAAAAAACAGTACTTCGTGATACGTGAGATGCTTCTGCCTACGGAATTTAATATTAAAATGTATAGCTATTAGGAGATGTTAAGTAAATAAAGAGAGAATACGTCGTAAATCGTGACTGCTCTTTTTAAAAGAAAAAAAAAATTCTCCTGCCTCGTTTCTTCACTTTTTTTTTTAATTTACAAAAGAATATTTTTAGATAAGTATATTAATTTAGACGTGACTAGATTTGAAAATTATAATTTCATCTCTTAATAGGCCTGTAGGCTTTATTTTTAATAGTTTATTAATAAAGTTTAAATATTTAATATGTCTATGTCAGCTATAGAAAATTTTATGTTAGGCTGAGTTTAATTCCTGTATTTAGTTTTATTAGATTTAGAATAAATGTCGAACAAATTCAAGATTATAGATCTACTCAAATCATTTATTTTATACTCCTCCTTTTAATTTTTTTAATAAAATAATTTTAATCTTAAAGCGTATTATCTTAAAAATGAACGATTTAGTATATCAAAAATCTTTAAAAATATAAATTATAAATTTCTAGATATTTTGAATGTAGTTTTAAAATGCTTAGATATAAAATAATAATGTATTTTAATTTATATTTTAAAAGCTTTATTAAATTATTTTCCTTTGAAACGATCGCTGATTGCTGATTAGTTTTAGGCCTATAAAGATCTATTCGAGTTGTTTTATATCTTTAAACATAAAAATAAGAAAATGTTAGGATCTATTTAAATTTTAAAAGTATCGTGGGTAGAATTTAAATGATTCAAAATAATAAAATAATAATAAATTTTAATTTATAAGTTATACATTAACAGGCCTATAAGTTCGATCTGAGCAAACGTTTTCATATAATTAAGATATATCTACGCCTTTAAAGCTGGATTTAAAAAATTAAATCTGAATAATATATATGAAGATATATTAATTCATATCTAAATCTAGAACTTGTCACAAAATCAAAACATTTAAATGTTACGCATCAAGCGAACTCTAAATCGTTTTGCTCTTATTAACATCGCTGATCCCCAGACAACTCTAAAAATTAACTTTTCACCTTGCAAATGCTTTCCAAAATTAAAAATTAAAATAAAAAATAACGAAAAACCTTTAAAAAATTTAACTTTGATGCATTTAGAAAGCACAGAAATGAACAGCATAGGTTCAATGCCGCGGATGATATCAGGTTGAAGCTAGTATTGCTAGACACGATATAATTAGGCAATGTTTATGACTAACATAGGTTGCCGCTAATATGTGTTACATCTTATTAATTACAAGCCACTAATCAACGTCCAGATGAGCATATTAATTAATTATAAGCCGACTCAACGAGACCCAATGCACTAAAACATTGTTAAGTCCCGTATAAATCTAAAGGATTTTATTAATTAGAATGTAGCTCTTAAATCTCTTCCTACAACCACAAAACATTTCACGTATAATAAATTTGTAATACTTAACGAAAACAAAAGTCTGTTTTATGAATTATGAAAGGATTAGACTATTTTTCTTATGTGCCAAAAACCTTCCGACGGAATGGAATATATGGAAAATAACGGCTAATTATAAATTTATAAATATTAAAATACACAATTTAGAATATAAATCTTTAGCAAAATAGATCTAAATTTGTTATATCTTATTTAAAATGTAATTTACGGGAAAATTAGATTTTAATAAATCGCTTTGCTCTGTTTATAGTAGTTTTATATAGGCCTAAATTTAAAACTAGATATATTATATAATTTAATTTATAATAATTTATTTTCAGACAGTTTTTAAACTTAAAACTTTTTAAATTGTACAGTACAGTACATATACATTAGGCTACGGTTTATCTAAATTTCTAACTCAAAATATTCAAAATTAATCTAAAAATATATAGTGAAAATAAGAGAAATTTATCAATATAGATTATCTATGTATTTATCTTACTTATTATAGGAATAGGCTATATGATAGGTTAATTTATTATTTTTCTCCGTAAATACAGCAAGATGAGCTATCATCTCATGTTTCTTATCACATGTCTAACACTAATAATGTTTTGTAGACATCGGAGAAAAGACAGTTTGTGTTTGTGGACAGCATTACTATCGTTTCTGACAAACACAACTTGTAAACTTACGTTCGATTGGAAACATTTCTGATTTAAAGATATAATCCAGTAAGAGGTGATCTTTCATCAACTTATTTTATTTAGCTTTGATAAACTTAGAAACTGCAATACTCTTTACTGTAATTTGATTTTCCTTTCGGATTCCAAATGTAATTGACTTATTTCAGTTCTTAATTGTTTTGTTTTATTTTATAGAATAATTAAACACTTTTAGCATAATTTTGGTTATCTTAAAATTTTGGTTTAATCCGATAAAATGAAAATTTAAAGTAACATTTAATTAATCTAGAATAGCCTGCACGCAATACGTTCTACGGTATTAGAATTGTATAAGAGAGCAACGTATAAAATCCATTTAAATCCCATGAAATAAACTTTCCGTATATTGATTTAATTTATTCTATTTTTAAATCTTAAAAAGATATTCTCTACTTAAAATTAAAGCAAAAAAGTAAATTATTTTGAGACAATACTAACCTCCATTTCGTTCTTCTATTTTGGAACCACGTCTTAACCTGAGCATCTGTCATTTTTAGCTGTTTCGCTAAAGCTGCTCTTTCTGCAGATGCTAAATATTTCTGTTTATGAAAACGTTTCTCCAATTCGCATATTTGCATTCTTGTGAACGACGTTCTGGGTTTCTTTCTTTTGGGAGGTGTCCTGTTTTGGTAAGGATGCCCGATCCTTCTGGGAGCGACGGGTGGAAGAGCTGTAGGTAAAGAAAACGGAACTGCGAGAATGTTATTGGATAGTTTTAATAAAATAAAATAATATAATTTTATATTAAAATTATTCATTTTATTCTTTAGAAACAATATACTTTCATCTATACCACTTCAAAAACTTGGCAAAGCAGCTCACAATTCATTAAAAAAAAAACAGAAAAAATAAAGCTTACTCTTTAACTGACAAGCCAAATCAAGACTTCAGATTGAAAATATTTTAATTATATAAATAGAAACAATTGAGTTTTAGAACAAAGAAACAACCAAGAAACAAACAAACCTATAATTTGTAACTAAATAAACATTACACAGGATATAAACCGAGATAAAAAGATCGAAAGATATAATATTAACGCAACTCTATACATTATCATTACAGAAGGAAAATCTATGCTCTGAGTCTAGGCTACTATTTTCAATAGATATGCAAAATAGATAAACAATGAATATTCGTTGCGGATAGAATTCATTTACATATTAATGCAATTAGAAAGACCTGAAGAAAGATTCAATGCAACTTATCAAAATCTATACTGTAGGTTTCTATATAAACAAGTTAGGTTTAGATGAAAATAAATCAAAATTAGTTATATTCTAACTCGAATTTTGAATAAATATCTTTAAAAATTTTTACGAAATTCATTTTATTTTTGATTTATAATACAAATAAAATAGATAAAACTAAATTAAGATTACGAGAAATGTTAAGAGATAGAAATCTAAGAATTTACTAAAAATAATAATAAAATATTACTTTATACTTAATTTAATAATTTAAATTATAATTTTTAGAGTTATTATTAAGCTATTTTTATATAAAATTATTATAATTAAAAAAATAATAACAAATTTACAGCATAAATATTATTTCATGACAGTACTGTTAAGAAAAATATGTTGCTATAGGTTATTCTGTTATAGTGACAAATAAGATTTCAACAATAACTTTCACTAATTTTCTAGATATTAACATACGTTAAATTTAAGTTTAAGTTTTCTAGATTTATCTACATCAAATATACATTTTATACTGTCTTAGAATTGAGTAATTGATGACGATTTTAATTCTTTCTAGATAAATTTTTATTTAGCTACTCTATAACACTTAGGCCTTTTATAATTTCACTCTCAAACAATTTCAAGCTTTTCGTTCTAAAGCAACTCAATAAATTAAGGTAAAGACGCATATTTTTATATATTTTTTCAATGATTTTAAATAATAAATTTCGCAATGAATAATAATATGTTCTATTAGAAAAATTATCATTGTTTTACACCCTTAATTGTGTAACCATTTAAACTAAATAGTATCTGCTTTAATGTAAATTTTTAAATTAAGTTTAAATATAGCCTATTTAAATTATAAACAATATTGTCATAAAAATTCTCAAAGGCCTATAATTTAATGGGGATTTTTTAGTTAATATATATTTAATGTTTTATTTACAATTTTTCTTAACGTTTACGCAGACTTTTAATTGTTATGTACTCTTAATTAGATCTATTATAACTTGTATGACTATAAGGAATATATTAGCATAGAGCAGTATAACGGGAAATTCTTTTAGTTATAGCCTATTTTAATATTTCTTGAATTTTTAGAACTTACTTTGGGCTTATAATTAAAAAAATTAAACAGTTATTTTTACAAAAATTTATTAGCAAATAGCTTTAAAAATTGAAATATAAGTTGTAAATATATAATATGATTTATACTTTTTTAAAAGTAAATTTATTATAAATGATCTTTCTATTATTGTGAACAAAGTAAAAGTTTTTACAAAGAATTCAATAGTAAAATATGAACAATAATTTATAAACTAGTTAACGGCTACCTTATCTAAACTGTTATGAATTTATACTTTTATAGAAATAATAAATTTTATAATTTTAATTTTTTTTTTAAATTAAACTGTTATTTTAATTTAAATCTAAAAGATTTCTCCGTTACATTAATCCATTATAATACATTTCTAAAACAGATCTATAAAAGTTATAATAGATTTATATCGAATAATATCGGTTACGGTTATTAGTTACGGTTAGCATTTTAAATATTTCTTAAAAATTAAGAAATAATTGTAAATAAAATATTAAAATATATGTTAAATTTAATTATTTAGCATTAAAATTAATAATGAAATTTTATCATTTAAGTTACAGACCATTGAATATTTTTCTTTTATATTATTGTTTATGGTTTACAGATCGTTAAACTTTCGGCTATTTACAACAATAATATAAAGAAGAAGAAAATTTAACATTGAACTATTTAAAATAATTTTAATAAACCTTCAAAACATTAATTATAGGTTTTCAAAATTTCATAAATATGGAAAAATAGTGACCTCATTTCTAAACGGCTATCATGCTAACATCTAATTAAGAATACTTGGCACCGATGGTGTCAAGATAGACAATAAGATAGATCGAAGGATAAATAAGGTGAGAAATAGGACAGTTCTGTTTTAAAAAAATAAATAAATGAAAAAAAAAATATCACATAGCCTGAAGCTGAATGAATTCTTGAGAGACTTATAGGCCCTATTGATTTTGACTGTATGAACAATAATGTCATGGTCAATCTCGTTTTTGCTCAACCCCCAAAGTAAAGTATCTATGTAACCGTTTAAATAGAATGTCAGGTGAATAATTCAATGCTCTTTCAAGTAGAAAAACATGTCCGGTTTCTAAAAGGACCACTTATTGAATATGTTAAATATTTTCACCCCGATTTTCATTTTCATAAATGAAGGATCTGTTTAGGTTTTTTTTTTCTTTTTTAAATTCTCACGATTGATTTTGATTTTAAATTATTTTTTTTATACATATTAATTTAATTTTAAAAAAAATACTATTTGATAAGAATTATATATTTAATAATCATAGTATGCATATTTTTATATATTTTTTCAATGATTTTAAATAATAAATTTCGCAATGAATAATAATATGTTCTATTAGAAAAATTATCATTGTTTTACACCCTTAATTGTGTAACCATTTAAACTAAATAGTATCTGCTTTAATGTAAATTTTTAAATTAAGTTTAAATATAGCCTATTTAAATTATAAACAATATTGTCATAAAAATTCTCAAAGGCCTATAATTTAATGGGGATTTTTTAGTTAATATATATTTAATGTTTTATTTACAATTTTTCTTAACGTTTACGCAGACTTTTAATTGTTATGTACTCTTAATTAGATCTATTATAACTTGTATGACTATAAGGAATATATTAGCATAGAGCAGTATAACGGGAAATTCTTTTAGTTATAGCCTATTTTAATATTTCTTGAATTTTTAGAACTTACTTTGGGCTTATAATTAAAAAAATAATAACAAATTTACAGCATAAATATTATTTCATGACAGTACTGTTAAGAAAAATATGTTGCTATAGGTTATTCTGTTATAGTGACAAATAAGATTTCAACAATAACTTTCACTAATTTTCTAGATATTAACATACGTTAAATTTAAGTTTAAGTTTTCTAGATTTATCTACATCAAATATACATTTTATACTGTCTTAGAATTGAGTAATTGATGACGATTTTAATTCTTTCTAGATAAATTTTTATTTAGCTACTCTATAACACTTAGGCCTTTTATAATTTCACTCTCAAACAATTTCAAGCTTTTCGTTCTAAAGCAACTCAATAAATTAAGGTAAAGACGCATATTTTTATATATTTTTTCAATGATTTTAAATAATAAATTTCGCAATGAATAATAATATGTTCTATTAGAAAAATTATCATTGTTTTACACCCTTAATTGTGTAACCATTTAAACTAAATAGTATCTGCTTTAATGTAAATTTTTAAATTAAGTTTAAATATAGCCTATTTAAATTATAAACAATATTGTCATAAAAATTCTCAAAGGCCTATAATTTAATGGGGATTTTTTAGTTAATATATATTTAATGTTTTATTTACAATTTTTCTTAACGTTTACGCAGACTTTTAATTGTTATGTACTCTTAATTAGATCTATTATAACTTGTATGACTATAAGGAATATATTAGCATAGAGCAGTATAACGGGAAATTCTTTTAGTTATAGCCTATTTTAATATTTCTTGAATTTTTAGAACTTACTTTGGGCTTATAATTAAAAAAATTAAACAGTTATTTTTACAAAAATTTATTAGCAAATAGCTTTAAAAATTGAAATATAAGTTGTAAATATATAATATGATTTATACTTTTTTAAAAGTAAATTTATTATAAATGATCTTTCTATTATTGTGAACAAAGTAAAAGTTTTTACAAAGAATTCAATAGTAAAATATGAACAATAATTTATAAACTAGTTAACGGCTACCTTATCTAAACTGTTATGAATTTATACTTTTATAGAAATAATAAATTTTATAATTTTAATTTTTTTTTTAAATTAAACTGTTATTTTAATTTAAATCTAAAAGATTTCTCCGTTACATTAATCCATTATAATACATTTCTAAAACAGATCTATAAAAGTTATAATAGATTTATATCGAATAATATCGGTTACGGTTATTAGTTACGGTTAGCATTTTAAATATTTCTTAAAAATTAAGAAATAATTGTAAATAAAATATTAAAATATATGTTAAATTTAATTATTTAGCATTAAAATTAATAATGAAATTTTATCATTTAAGTTACAGACCATTGAATATTTTTCTTTTATATTATTGTTTATGGTTTACAGATCGTTAAACTTTCGGCTATTTACAACAATAATATAAAGAAGAAGAAAATTTAACATTGAACTATTTAAAATAATTTTAATAAACCTTCAAAACATTAATTATAGGTTTTCAAAATTTCATAAATATGGAAAAATAGTGACCTCATTTCTAAACGGCTATCATGCTAACATCTAATTAAGAATACTTGGCACCGATGGTGTCAAGATAGACAATAAGATAGATCGAAGGATAAATAAGGTGAGAAATAGGACAGTTCTGTTTTAAAAAAATAAATAAATGAAAAAAAAAATATCACA